AAGTATTAGAAAGTCAGGTGGGGGGGGCCGTTTTTAGGAGTTTTGGTCTAATTTGAAATGACTTATTTGCAGAACGCCCTAAAGCGGGGCCCTACTGTACTCGAAGATATGGAGAGACTGTTGTTGGTGTGGATCAACGATAAACAAATTTTAGGAGATAGTATTTCTCGTCAACATATGTAAAAGGCAAGGCACTTCATGGGGATCTCATTAAAAAAATGCCTGGAATAGTGTTGTGTTAGTGATTTTAAGGCCAGCAAAAGGGTTTGGTTGAGAGATTTAAAAATCGTAGTGGGATAACTTGTGATGAGACTGGTGAGGCTGCCAGTTTGGACAAAAGTGGCTGAAAAATAAGTGCGAAATTCAAGGATTGCATAGCACTGAAAAATTAAAAAACCCCAAAAAAATGTTTAATTTTTGGGCGAAAAAGGCCTGTTTTTTGGAAGGAAAAAAAGCCAAACATGACCAACAGTACTAGGAGGGAAAAAGGATCCCCCGGGTTTTTGCCCATGAAAGACAGGCTAAAATCTATTAAAAAACAAAAAAGGGGGGTAACCCCAAAAAAAGGGTTGTTCCTAAAGTCTTTATGGGAAGGGGACTTCCCCTTTCCAAACAGTTGTTAAAAACCTCCTCCTTGTTCCCCCCATCTCTTACTCATCAGTAAATCCCCATAAAGGTAAGTGCCTTTTAGTATTGTTTTTCTGCAGTCTCATTGTTTTTGTGTAGGAAAATGTATATTTATATCTGGAATGGTTTAAAAAATGGATTTCCATTTTTCTTTTGGGGAAAATTAATTTGGCTAAACATAAAAACGGGTTAGGGCAAGCTCTTGAAAGGATTTTAAAAAGTTAGCCGAGGGTCCCTGTATAAAGCTGATTATCCGTTTTAGCTATTAAAGATGATAATCACAATGTAATATTAGAAGATGAACAATATGAAAAACATTACTGTATTAACAACTGCTTTGGATAAAGAATGCTGAAAAAATAAAAAAAAAAAACAGTGTACTGCCAGAGTGGCTGGTTGGGGGGTGCATGCATGCTGTTTTGTGTTGTATGCCTGCGTAATGGATTAAAATTAAACAAATTTAGTTTTTGAAAGGATATAGGAAAGCATTGGGTTTTGGGAAATAGGGTAGTTTGATGAGTGGACAGTCTGCCCATAGGGAATTGAGGGTAAAATCTTGGGTGTTTCAAAAAATTTTGGTTGGGTAAATACAGAGTGTGAGTGGTTGGATTTGAGTGGGGCTTGCAATGAGTAAAGAATTTTCAAAGTTTTTGCTTGGGTTTGCATTGAAAAATTTGGGGTTTGGGAAATTAGTTTTGGGTGGATTTTTAGGACTTGCCTATTGGGCCAAAAGTCCCGCTGCGTGTTCTTCCTTTTTATGTTCTTATGAAACATGGGCGCGAGGGAAATTGTGTACATTTAAAGGGGTAGGCCTTCCCTTAAAAACATTAAAAGCCCGATCCTTAGGCTGGCTGAGCACAAGATGGGAAAAAAAAGCACCCGCAGTTGTGCAGCGCTTCATTTTTTCCCTAAAGTAGCGCATCATAATGAATTCGGGGTCATGACTGAAAAAAAGCCCCAATTTTTTCAAATCATTTGACAAAAAAATCCCCACGATCACTCTTAAACGAGGCTCTGCTTTGTTTTCGTTTGTTTATTTGGTAAAGGTTTTTGGGGGAGATCCTAGTTATGTACGTTTTGGAAAAGGAATTGTGGTTCTTATTTCTACTGATGTTCAAAAAGTTGGGCTTAAAACAGTGTAAAACTGCCTCTGGCCCCTTTTAAATTAACCAAAAAAACAAAGGGAGCTTAGGTGACTCCCACATGTACTGGCATATTATGATAAAAAGTCGCTGCAACTAATTGACCCTTTTGGTTTGCATTTTTCCCCATTTTTCCCCAAAAGCTCAAAAATTGACTAACAGATTTTTAGGAAAAGATAAACCCCATTTTTTTATGTGATAGATTAAGTATCAAAAAAAGTTTACAATTTGAAAGTCCAAAGGAAAAACAACCTATTTTTCCAATATTTTCTTACCTTTACATAAAAGCTATATTTTTTAGTTGGCATTCAGGAATGAATCCTGATGTTAATTTGAGGGAGGTATTGTATTGAAGCAAATTTTTCATAAATAGTTTTTTCTCGGCTATTATTTTTTTACCAAATGCTTGCATATTTTGCATACACTATATATATATTTCATGTATGTATGAAGAGTTCATATTTGTTTGGTAAAGATTGGTCAAGAATTGTAGCAGTCATGTGTATTAATCAGTGGGTAAAGTGACTAACTGTTGCCTACATAATGGACTGTCTGATCTTGAAACCATCCTTCCCACTCTTCTTTTCCCTCTCAGAGCAGCCCAGCAACATGTTGCCCACCCATATACATCTGTTTTGTACTCTACTGCATATTGTAGTTCTGTTAAATTAACATGGACAGTGTACATTAATTAAACAATGTTTAATACTTTTTGTAAGTGAAAAGGATTAAAAGTATTTAGTGTAACTTATCAGTTAAATATTCTAACTTTAAAAATTTATTTACATTTATGCTTGGAAATGCATCTCAGATTTTAATGTGGGTGTCAGTTAGTTCTGAATTCCAAATTCAACATAAGAATATTTTTCAGAAATGCATGAATGCCATAAGGAAGGGAGGGCCTGCTATGCAGTGGGTGTTTTCGATTTAGGGATTGTACTCCAAGTTCCCCCAAAAATGGCCACCTTGAAGAACTTGTTAAATAATTGAATCAGTTCACCAGGTGCCCATCAGCAAGAAGTTGGAAACTCAAAGCCCACAAATTTGGGGGTTTAACTGTACAGTGCCTTTGTTAATTTTATTAAATGTGATTTTCTTTTGTAAATATTTTTAGTTGTAGGGTTTAAATTATTACTGTATTGTTATTATTATTATTATTATTATTATTATTATTATTTTCCTGCATTATTATATTCTTGTTTTTATTGTTCCATTCATAGGGGGTTAAACTCTTATTAACCCCTTGACTGTCGCAACCCCAGATCCTGAGGTGTCTCCTGGTGTCACAAAATTTCCGAAAAAAAACATTTTTTTCTTATGAAATGATAGAGAATCTTTTCCCGATTATGAAATGATAGAGAATCTTTTCCCGATTGTAATGACACTAAAAGAATGAAATTTGATGGAAAACTGAGGAATTATGCTCTCACGAAGTTAGTGACCTTGGCGATATTTACGAATCAGTGAATTCGCCCACTTTGAGCCCTATTTTCGGCTAATTCCATTGTTCCAGTCGACCAAACTCATAGCTATTTCTTTAGAACTCCATTTTTTCTATTGACTGAGTACAAGAAACTGCCCATTTACTGATTTCAACTACCCAATAACGTGGTCAGAAATTTGCAGTTTGGCCAATTTCATGAAAATTAAAAAATATGACAGTTTCAAAATAGGGTCCAGAATGAACAATGCAGACATTCCTGGCTCTAAAATAACATTTTCTTTGTTCATCAGTCACGTCTCCAGGCCCCTCTGATATTACTCTTGCTTTTTATTTTGAATTTTTATTCAAACAAAAAATAGATTTCCTGTTATGCAGACTATTGCAATATTGTAATAATTGTATAAATAATGTCACCCCATTCATGACTGCATATTAGAATGGCTACTTGGACATTTATTGGTAAATGACATCATTTGTTTACTTTTGAACATTGACAAAAATCAAACATTTCCCCTAATTTGAGCTCCATTTCAAGGTTCTTTTCGTAGTAAAACCAATCAGAATCACCTCTGCTTCTATACTATGTTTTACATTCTATCAAATGAGACCAAGAAAACGAGAATACAACCATAAATACTATATGAAAATAGACCACAAATTTGGCATTTTAATTAAAAAAAAAAGGTCGGAGTTTTTTTCTCATTATGCACTGCATGCTGCAGGATTTTTTTATATGGTGCACACTGACCACACAGACCCATTCTCTCACATGTGGGCCTACCAGCTTTCTCCTGCTTGATTTGAAGCCGCTAGAATTTATGAGTATATATACGTCAAACACGGTGGCTCATAAGATGCATATATACGACCAAAACAGTCAAAGGGTTAATCATACATCATTGGAGGCAATTAGGTTCAATTTAAGGAAAGGGAGAATTCAGATTCAAATTCAAAATTTATTTCCACATGATACATTGTACAGAAATGGGTGACACTTAATAATGCATGTGGAAAGTCCATAGTTATTCAAAGCATTTGTGGCAAGCTTAAGCCTAAGACTACAAGGGCAATAATAATAATAATAATAATAATACTTTTAGCAACTCCACACCTCACCTTCTAATTTCCACACTATAAATTTTGTGCATAACATTTATGCCACACATTGCCTTTAGACACAACATCTCTACTGCCTCCAGCTTCCTCCTTGCTGCAACATTCACAACCCATGCTTCACACCCATATAAGAGTGTTGGTACCACTATACTCTCATACATTCCGTTCTTTGCCTCTATGGATAATGTTCTTTGTCTCCACAGATAACTCAGTACCCCATCCACCGTTTTTCCATCCAACCTGATATTCAGTTTTTTCTTTTCTAAATCATTTGATACCCTCATCACCTTACACTATAAAACTGATTCATTGAGTATATAATGAATGTATATGTAAGTAGATTAAATATATCACTGTACATGATCATAAGAAAAATTATTTGGGTCATAGTCTAGTAGGTTTATAGGTAAAAATTTTTTACATTAGATGACATTCAATTCAAGAATTTAAATTCTGGAAGGATAATCTAATTCCTTGGATCAAAAGGCATTAACCAGCATTGAGCATCTCCCTTAAAAGGGGGTGAAAAGTATTTCATTATATGATTTAAAAATGACTACAGATTCTCTAAACAAGTATCACTTTAACCTTTCTGTTAAGAGAGAGAGAATCAATTACTGTACACTGAAGGTTATTTTATGCATATTTACCTACTTTAATGAATTTTCCAGGTGCTGAACATTAAAGCTTCACTTAAAACTCAAGCTCAGGAAGGAGATGAGGCATTGGTTTCAGATTCCCGTGATCATGATAAAAAACGGCCAGCGAAGAAAGGAATCCGTGCTTCATCTTCAAAGTTTTGGCCAAAAAGTTCTTAATAATTAACCCCAAGCATCTAATCTTGTAAAGAAAAATTTGTGTAAATTCCAAAGGGAAGTATTGTAGGCACAATGTTTTCATACATTATGCAGTAAAATTTGAACTTACATATTTCTGGAGTGTAATGTTGGCAGACATCTGTGTACTCAGATCATTTTATATCAGTCATATACCTAATATTTTTTGTCCTCATCACCATGTCTTAAAGGCAAATTTTCTTTGGGACTGAAGCTCATGTTTTCTTGTTTCCATTATATACTGTAGACAGTTTCCCCTCTTAAGTGAATAAATTGACAAATAGGAATAAGATTGTTTTTTTTTTTGTGTTAGTACTGTAATGGTATTTAGCAGTGATCTAACATCAGCATAGATTGTTTTTTCTTGTGTTAGTACTGTAATGGTATTTAGCAGTGATCTAACATCAGCTTAACTTTTCTCAATATTCATTTATTTATTATTAAATAGGGGAAGTGCTAAACCCATTGTGGTCATACAGAACTGGAGGGAATGGGAGGTAATCAGCTTCAGTCCATGGAAGTGGAGGACAGGTCCAATTCCTTGCATCAAGAACCATTGGTATCAAGGAGCCTCCCTTAGGGAATATGTTAGTGGTTCTGTGGATTATCTTCCCCACAGCCTGGTCTACTTTGGAAACAAAATACCATATTACAGGATTAAGAATTATTAAGAAGCCCAAAAGAAAGTAAAGTTATGGTATGTATATATTGAATCTAAGTAGAAGTTTGTAAGATTTTCCTATCATCTTACTTTTTTTGAGACAAAGAGATTAGCAATCTGCCAATGTAAAAAAAAATTATTAAGTTTCCATTCCAATCTCATATGCTATCTATAAATGTATTACCAAGGTACCTTGATGCTGGTAATGGGTTCTAAATTTGAAGAACTGGAGCTACCCTTAAATCCCTTGGATCAATTATTATAATCATAACCCAGCACTAAACCCATAAGGGTCATACAGCTCCTTGGATCAAGCCTGATTACTTCTAATTCCCCAGGAAATGTATGACCCTTCTGGGCATAATACTTTCTCATTTTTTTTTTTTAACTCGATAGTCATCGCCCACCAGTAAAGGTTATACAGCGTCTGGGAGAATGGTAGGGAATCAAGTTTGATCCAAGAAATGAGAGAATAGATTCAATTCCTTGTATCAAGACCCTTCACTGGTATTAAGACTTCTCCTTGAAGGTAAATGTCCATCAAACATTGACTTAGAGTAGAGCAGCTGGTGGCAATAGAACTAGACCTAAAAAAAAAAAAAAACTGAATGCATATACAGTACACTTATTACTTACCTTAAAATATTTTTGGCCTTAATGTTGGGTGAGAGGTGAATAGTACTTATTGTAGGAAGTCAAACGAAACCAGCCTCTGCTAGCTTCAGATTTATCTTCAGCAGCTTTCCTCCCCCCTCAACCTTCACAGAATTGAAGAGACTCAGGGCTTTAGACTGGATAATGGCTCAGCTTAAAGGCACATTGTGACTAGTCTTATCTTCAGTCCACATCCATGTCAGCAATAAGGTTATTATGTTTTCTTATAACTTTAGTGTTCACTAGTGTAGCACTTTTAATTTCTTGCAACACTTTTTCCTTAGATGCCAACGTAACACAAAAATAGTATATACTGTATTATAAGTAATAACTTCAACCCTTTCAGGATCCAGAGGCCAAATCTCAGAATGACAGCCAGGGTCCAAGATTTTTCAAAAAAAACAAATTTTATTTTTTCTTATGAAATGGTAAAGAATCTTTTTTTGAAGGTAACAAACCAAAAAGTACAAAATTTCGTGGAAAATTGACGAAATTAGGCTCTCGCTAATTTTGAGGCATCAGCGATATTTATGCATCGGCGATTTTGCCGATTTTGACTCGTATTTTAGGCCAATTACGTTATTCAAGTCGACCAAATTTTTAGCTATTTCGCTAGTATTACTTCTATTTTATCGATTAAGCACAAGAAATCGCCCAGTCAACTGTTTCAACTACCCAATAAACTGATTGGAAATTGGTAATTTGGCCAATTTAACACAAAGTTCAAAATATTCCAGTTTCAAAATAGGATCTAGAAAAAAGATTGCAAGCATTCTTGGCACTAAACGAACATTTCCTCTGTTCATTAGTTATGTTTTCAGGCTTTACAAATGAATTCCATTTTGATTTTTTATTCATGTAATGAATTTTTATTCACACCAAAAAAAAAAAAAAATTTACTGTTATGCAATGTTGTAATAATTGCATAAATAGTATCAGCACATTCGTGAATATATATTAGACCCACCAGCTGATGCATATTAGACTTGTGACGACATTTGTTTACTCTTAAACTTTGGCAAAAATTGAACATTTCCGCTAATTTGAGCTCAGTTTCAAACTATTTTCAGTACTAAACTCAATCAAAATCATCTCTATTTATGTAATATATATTCCATTCTATCAAATGAGACCAAGAAATCGCAAATACAACTCTAGAAAACATACGAAAAAACACCTCAAATTTGCTGTTTTAATCCAAAATTACGATCACAGTTTTTTTCTCTCATTATACGCTAAGTGCTGCAGGATTTGTTTTATATGGTGCACACTTACCACATAGATGTGTTCTCTTATGTCTAGGCCCAAATTTATCACTCACAGGGTATTTGAGTGAGCTGAGCTCATGGCGAATATCTACGATTTGGACCCTGGCTTCAAAGCCATAGATCTACGAGATGGACCCTGAAAGGGTTAGAAGCTTAAAACTGGAAAGTTTCCAGACTAAACCGAGAGATGCGGAGATTACGGCAACACACCGAGGCTCACTTGTAGAAATTAAAGAATATTATTAGAATTATTATAAAGCACTGTTTGGAGGGTGGTGTGTGTTTTGGGTGAGCGGTCGGATTTACACGTATTTTGTACATGTCCACTGACTGTTGATATGCATTCATCTCACATTATGCATACAACTGTGAATTGTTTTCCCCACAATACAAACACCTTACATTGTGTGCAAGCTGTCTTCATGAGTGAACATTAAAATGGTATAAAATACACCATACCCCCGGCCGGGATTGAACCCGCGGTCATAGTCTCAAAACTCCAGCCCGTCGCGTTAGCCACTAGCCCAGCTAGCCACAATAAGATTCATCCAACTAGGTATATTTCTACACCATAGGAAAGTTAGCACAGGCACCTCTGTGACCACAAATGCAAGTTTTTACAGACGAATCTCCAGCTAGCGTGGCCGTGACGAACTCTAGCTCAAGTCCCTTCACTGCCGTCAACATGACTCAAGAAATCGTAATGACACGATTGCAAATAAACCATACCCCCGGCCGGGATTGAACCCGCGGTTATTTGCAATCGTGTCATTACGATTTCTTGAGTCATGTTGACGGCAGTGAAGGGACTTGAGCTAGAGTTCGTCACGGCCACGCTAGCTGGAGATTCGTCTGTAAAAACTTGGATTTGTGGTCACAGAGGTGCCTGTGCTAACTTTCCTATGGTGTAGAAATATACCTAGTTGGATGAATCTTATTGTGGCTAGCTGGTCTAGTGGCTAACGCGACGGGCTGGAGTTTTGAGACTCTATGACCGCGGGTTCAATCCCGGCCGGGGGTATGGTTTATTTGCAATCGTGTCATTACGATTTCTTGAGTCGTATAAAATACCTACAGGTTGTTAGGTGAGACACATACAACTGAAGAAGCCTACTGTGTAGGCGAAACGTTTCGAAATAAAGATACCTAACTGTTGCATGTGTCTCACCTAACAAGCTGTCTTCATGTTGGTGCAATAAAATACGTAACAGCAGCACTCCCATTCTCGTGCAACACACCATTTTCAGAGTGAATGATTCTATGAATGGAGGTATGTATATGAAAGGAATACTTTTTTACAGTTCCCCCTACCCCATAATACTATACTGTACACACAGCATCTCTGGTGTTGGACTAGAGAAAATGAATTCTTTCCATAACTCCTACAAGCCACTAGGCTACCACATCTCATATTTATGTCAGTTTGTTCTACAGTGGTTGTATGTATTATGTTTGTGTAATATGTAGCGTGTTTCTTATCTAATTTTGAAAAAAATGTCATAGATGGATTAATGAAAATGTCTATAATAACATAACATACAACATTTAAAGCACCCAAGAGCAATCATTATTATTATTATTCATATTGCATCTTTCAACATTATTGAGAGAGTGATTTTATTGTACCTGCACACCAGACAGGTATATCTGTAGGTATATCAGATAGGTATATCTGTACCTAAATAAAACGTAAGTTTTATTTAGGTACAGATATACCTAAGTACAATTATCAGAGTACATATAAAATGCACACTAACTTTAAAACACTTGAAATTTTGGAGTTTCCAGACATTGAGGGATGCAGTGCTCACTGAGGATGTACACAGAGTGGTGCATAGATGCTGTAATAGGGAGCCATATAACCAATTTTTTATGATTTAAGATGTCCGTATTAGCAGATCGCCATAAAATGAAGTACCGTAAAGCAGGGCTTTCCTGTATACACATTTACACTATAGAGGTGCTCCTCACTTTATGATAGTTTAACTTACATTTCAACTTTATGATGGTACAATAGCTATGCACATTCCTGGCAGTGGCAAGCCCCACACTCAGTCTCTGTACTCATTTACAGTAGAACCTCCATATCCACTGATTCGGTATCTGCGGCTTGAGTTATCCACGACTTACTGTGGCCCAAAAATCTCTCTCAATTTTGCATAATGGCCCCAAAGCACAAATGTAGAAAAGCTGGCAGTTCTTCAAAGCCTAAGAGAAGCAGTAAAGTGCATCCCATTAGTGAAAAAGTGATAATTCCTACTTATTGTGCATAATTTATCAATTGAACTTTATAATAGGTATGTACAGTGGACCCTCAGATAAAGGCATTAATCCGATTTTGCCATTAGCCGAATTAATTTTCCCCATAAGAAATAATGGAAATCCAATTAA